GCTTTGAAAACTCCAAGTACCTGCTTATTTCTTCAACTGAAATTGGTTTTGAAACCGGCAGAAGGCCATCCATTCATATTTTATTGCCACCTTTTTCTTGCAGGGGCTATGATTTGGGGGTTTGCTGTTATTATTGCTTTTGCTTTTGTTATCAGCACTACTATATCCTAGAGAGAAACCTTGATTGAATCATCCACAATTATTTTTACAACTACCTATTTTCTTTGAGAATACATCACTATTTGTGAGAAACAGTTGCCTTTTTTTTCTCCACATTCAATACAGAGTTCTCAATATCACAAATTCACAGAATGATTGAGGTTGGAGGGCACCTCCATAGGTCAGCTGGTCCAACTTCCCTTCTCAAAGCTGGGTCAACTAATGTACATCACTTTGGGCTATGTCCAGTTGGGTTTTGAATATCCTCGAGAGCGGGGATTCCACAGTCTCTCTAGGTGACCTGTCACAGTTTTTGACCAATCACACAGTAAAAACATTTTTCTTCTTATGTTTAAATGGAATTTTCTGTGTTTCAATATGTGCACGTTACTTCCTGCCATTTCACTGAGTACTACTTAAATGAGTCTTTCCTCATCTTTGCTCATCTTTTCTCATCTTCTTTACTACCCCTATCAGGTATTTAAACACACTGATAAGCTCCTTCTGAGTCTTCTCATCTCAAGGCTGAACAGTTCTAGCTCTTTCAGCTTCTACTCATATGACAGATACTCCAGTTCTTAATGATTTCATGTGCCTTTACTGGACTTAGTCCAGTTGCTCCATGCCTCTCTTTTACTGGGGAGCCTAGATCTGGACCCAGCATTCCATGTGTGGCCTCACCAGTGCTGTGTAGAGGAGAAAGATCACCTCCCTCAACCTGCTGGCGACACACTTCCTGATGCAGTCCAGGATGCAGTTGGCCTTCTTTGCCACAAGGGCACATTCTTGGCTCATGTTCAACTAGCATCCACCATGACGTCCAAGTCCTTTTTTGAAAAGCTGCTCTCCAGCCAGTTGGCCCTGCATGTGTACTGGTGCATGGGATTATCCCTCTCCACATGCTAGACTCCGCATTTCCTATTACTGAGCTTCACAAGGTTCCAGTTCACCCATTTCTCCAGCCTATCAAGATCCCTCTGGATGGCAGCATGACCCTCTGGTGTATCAGCCACTATTCCAGTTTTGTGTCATTTGCAAACTGGCTGAGAGTACACTCTGTCCGGTCAATCAGGTCATTAATGAAGAGCTTAAACAGTGTTGCATTCAGCATCAGTCTCCGGGGGTACTCCACTAGTGACTGGTCTCCAACTGCACTGTGGGCTGCTGATCATAACCCTTTGAGCTTGCCATTTAGGACAAATTTCAGTCCACTTCACCATTCCTTTATGTAGCCCATAGAATCATAGAATGGTTAGGGTTGGAAGGGACCTCAAAGATCATCTAGTTCCAACCCCCTTGCCATGGGCAGGGACACCCTCCAGTACACCAGGTTACTTAACACCTCATCCAACCTGGCCTTGGACACTTCCAGGGATGGGGCATCTACTACTTCTCTGGGCAATCTGTTCCAGTGTCTCACCACTCTGAGTGAAAAATTTCTTCCTTATATCTAATCTAAATCTGCCCTCTTTCAGTTTAAAGCCATTACTTCAATATGTCTTGTTCTTACATGAGTTTCTCTCAATCTTTCTTAATTCTTAGAAGCTAGGGAGGTTATTGGAGAATCTGAATCACTTCCTATCATTGTATGCTACCAGTACAAAGAATTCTAATAGAGAGATCCTACACCAGTCCTTAAGATAGCTCAGACTTAACTTTTTCCTTTCCCAAAGGAACAACCATTCACTATGATTGTATTTCTTTCCTCTAACTGTCTTTCATCTGTTATAAAACTTTGTGCGCTTGCTCTGTATTTTCCTATTTCCATTACTCTTATCAAAGACTTTATCAAAAGCCATTAATAGAGCTAAGCAAATTCTATCTCCTTCCTCTTTCAGTCTTTTATAAACTTTCAAAGAATTCAAAGCTAATGAAATGTGAATAATTTTATGTGAAACTGTATTTTAAATTCCTATTACCATCAATTTGTAGTCCTTCCCCCTGCCCCACACATAGTCTGTACATCCTTCAATATACAATATAGTATTATTTTATCATCTTTCTTATTCCCTAATACCACAAGGAGTTTTCAGGAAGTATTACTACTGAAACAATCAAAGCAACCGCTTCGGTAGTGTGCCCTGGACACAAAATCCCACTCTTCCTCACTGTATACTGCTGATAAAGAATAGTGCATGCTAAAGAAAAAAAGGTTTGCCCCATCCATTCTCATGACAATGAACTCCCTTGTGCTTTAGGAAGTATCTGTATAAACAGAAAAAAACCACTGATCTTTACATCAACATTACTCCCACAGAGGAAAGAGGTAGAACTTACACCGATTTCAGAGGGGACATTTGATCAATGCAGAACATATATCACATCCTGAGACTAAAAGTGAAAGTAAATGTCTTATTAAAGGTTCAGAAACAATAAGGCTGAAGCATAAGAATATCATACATTTGAGGGTGGAAATATGATGTTGATACCAAATGTCTTTTGCATAAAATAAGCACAGCTGCAAATAGCTAACCAAAGGATGATTGGTAGAAACTGAATTCTGTCAGTGAAGTGTAACATAAAGTCAAGAGAAGAAAACACTTCATGAAACTAACTATAACCATAACATCATTTCAGCAGAGCACCTCTTATTGTTGAGGAAGTACAATCTTTCTGGGCCTTGAAGATTCTGCTATGTTCCTGACTAAGCAAATGATGTTAGAAGCCATAAATGCCTTGATGATGTACTGACGAATTTGAAGACTGCCACTCTCCCAGCTAAATAACCTTTTGGTCATAGCCTTCCACCTGTTTTTCAGCTTTAGTCCTAGTTCTGCAATTCTTTGTGCATGGACTTGAAAGTGAATGCCTCAAGAGGCTGTAGATATGGGATAGATAGCAATCAACAGAAGAATTTTGGCCTTGATGCTGTATGCACAACATACGCTCCTTCTTTCATCATAGATCCAACTACTGATTTCACAATGGATTTGGAAAAGCACAGCAGAGTTGTAATTTTCAAATTACTGTAGTAAGAAAATGGCCAAAGAAGTGGACATAAGGAAAGGCTGCCTGTCATTTAAGCTGCCTGTCAGTCTACCCTACCGCCATCCATCTCTTCTTCACTGCTGTCTCTTCCTTTTTTCATAACTGAACAGTTTTTCAAATGGACATTATAGATTTACTTATCTTTCCAGCTCCAACTGTAATAATAATAAAGGCAATGAAAGAGAGGAAAAAAAATAAAATCTGTTTTCCTCCAACAAGTTGCACCTGGAATGGAAAATTCTAGGTAGGTTGTCTTAAAAAAAAAAAAAAAAAAGGCATTTTATCCTTATTATTCATTCTGTTCTCTTTTATTTATAAGCATAACCCTTCTCTATATCATTCTCTCAGCATGGTATGCGTACTACCACTCATTTGACTATGTGAAATACATGACGTGTAGAAAGCTACATTTAAGTTTAATTCTATTGAGATTTATTTCTGCAAAATAATTATATTTGGATGGCTTCCCAAAAAGACTGGAAGCTACTCCTCTTTTCACTATGCCCTAATATGGATTTTAATTCTTAATTCAAATTAACACTTACTACACACTTCTAGGCTTAAATTATATTTTATGTCATGCTGCACTGAAATAACACATTATATATGAAGACACTGTCAAGCACATTGAAGCGTTAGTTGTTGTCTTTTTTAAAGGACTAACCATAAAACTCTAGATTTTACTATTTACAATAGAAATTTACTCAGTTCAAAACGCCAATTTAGTTGTGAAAGCAGGTACAATAATAAGAAACAGTTTGTTTTCCTTGTAAAATATGCTGTTAATTCTGTAGTGTGATCTAGTGATGTAGCAGCAGAACAGATTCCATTTTAACCTGGAGATGAAACAGATGAAAGCAGCGGGAGCTCAATAATGTCAGTGGCACCTATTACAGGTAAAACCTATATTGTGTCATCTAGCAACAACAGAATACACAAAAAAAAAAAGGAAAAAAAAAAAGAAAAGAAAAGGAATATGCATAAAAGTAGTTCATAGTTTTGGCCAAAATCACTGCCACTGAAAGACAGTACCACAAAGAGTACTTAGCAGTACTGGATCTATTGGTCCAGGTTGGGATATTTTTTTCATTTGGTTTGTTGAGTTTTTAAAATTTAAAACTTTGACTGTGCCAAAATAAAGAACCAGTAATAAAAAGTTGAACTGTTTAACTGAAATGCTCTTTAAACTGTCTTTGCCTCATGTAAAAATATTTATCTGGGACTACTAAGTCAGACATTTTTTGACTGTTGCAAGGCTTATCTGAGTCAATAGAAACACAGCAGACTTTGAGGCCTTTCAGATGCACAGGCATCTTATTGTACCTCTACTTGGAAATTTGCCTATTAAAAAGCCAGAGGTATACCCTGATAATCAGGAACTATTAGGCACCTGTCAAACATAAATTAATATTGGCATATTTAACATGCAATTTGCTAAAATAGGTTAATAGTAGATACAAGAAGGAAGGATAAATTCATCAGGCAGTACTACATAGTGTTGTCTTCTAAGATAGATGAAATATGAAACACAAACAGGACAAGCTGCTGATTTCAAGACACTAAATACTTGGAACTCTTCCTGGGTAAACTGGCAGCCTTCAATCACATACTGAAAAACATGCTAAATTTACATAACTGGAATCACATAGGCATGTGGGGTTTTGTTTATTTTTTTCTGTGAAATGAAGAAATTTACACATACAGAGAAAATTCTCCTTTATTCAAAACTGGCTAAAAAAACTCAGGGTGTTAAAAAGAACATTGCATCTCAAGATAATTTTCAGATTTTAAGAAACACTATTATTTTCCTTTCTAATTTTTTTCTAATACTATGTGCCAAATATATTAATTACCTATCTCAGAAGCAGCCACTGTGATGTTGTACCAAGGTGTCTCCTCTCTGTCAAAGATCTTGGCAGTCTTAACGGTTCCAGTACTAGCATCAATGGTGAAATACCTATCTTCTTCTGTGTTATGATCAATGAAATATCTATGAAGAAATAAAACAATAAATATATACTAATTGTAGTATATATCATCCAAAGTAACAAATAAGAATATTATTTTCAAGCTTTTAAAATCGTAGAAATTTTTAAAAACACCCTAAGAAAAATTCTATGTTATGGAGATACCCGAAGTAACATCATATTTAATTTCTTTCATAACATTTCATTTCTTTTGATAAATAACAAAGTTTCCATTGTGAGTCACAAAGATATAAATTCCTAACAGGTGATATTTTACACAGCAGTATACAATCCTGTCAAAGGTAAGATATACTGTATTTTGACTAAAAAAAAAATCATAGAATGGAAAGGCAGAAAAGAAAACAGAAAGATATTCTTCTCCTGCTTGTTTGCTTCTCACTGCAAACCAGTGTGCTAAGTCCTGGTACCTGTTTTGAAGCATGTCTCTGTGCCATGAAGTTGATGACATGATGACATAGGCCGTTTTGAACATAACCCTTACAGAGACTAGTAGCAGAAATGGCTGATTCTCAGAGCTGCAATTGACACCAGCCTAGAAGCAGAACTAAGCAGCCCTGTTTAATTCCCTTGGTTTCTGGGCACTTTGCCTAGCAGAAAAAGTAAAAACCTTGAAGTGGGTAATGAAAGCAGAGAGAAGGAACGCAAAAGCAGAGATTGACAAGACATTTTTTCTCAAAGTCAGAATCATTTACAACAGCTTTTAACAAATGAAGCAATTACAGAGCCCTATCAGGCCTTCTCCACTAACTTCAGACTTGATGAAAAGTATAAGGAAAAAGCTTCTAAGTCTTTTATATACCATAATTGTTTTTCCTGATAGTTTGTCAGCCCTGCTTTCATTCTGTGAAGTTTGTAATATATGGAAGCTATATATAGGTCAAAATGATTTATTTGTCCCATCCAATTGCTCTTATTTCTACATCACCAAAAGTTTAATTGCCAGCTAATAAACAGAGTGGTGCACATAAAGGCTGCCAAGTTCAAAAAAATAAAAAATAACTTCAGTTCTATTTCTCTCACAATGTACTTATTTAGACTATTTGTGGAAAGGAAAAACAAACAAGCAAACAAACACTTCATTGAATGATATATTAAAGTAAGATATTACATGAAAAAGCAAATGAAATAAAGCACTAGAGGAAGAAGCAGCAATTTGAGTGAGTCACCTTAGCTGGTCAAAGGATAGGACACTTGGTAGCAAAGTCAGCTAGAACTTGATGACTTAAGATAAATCTTCCTTGTTGGAGAGAACCTGAACCCGCCTCAAAGAAATATTTCACACTTGCCTGACAATGCACTATTTTGGCTTGTGGCACTCAAGATTTTCTTTTCTTGCTTCCAGTATTTTCAGCAATTAAAGAGCTGTAGGTCAGGCACTGGAAATCAAAGCAGCCAAAACTAGGCTAGAAAGTCTTTCCTTCTTGCCTGCTCTCCATCTTTCCTTTTGACATCACGAAGAGTGAAAGAGCTCCCATATAACTAGAGGAGTTTTTGGAGAGATAGCAACCCTCAGTTCCCACCCAATTTATGTTTCTCTGGAATAAGGATTTAACTTGCTATCTCCCACCTGAAATACAGTCAGAACCTAGAGAATCAGAACCTTTGAGAATCAGGATTTGCTTTTCATTTCCAAACAATTGGTTTTTCCAGTGTCTCTGCAGGTCTCAGTCTTCCGTGAAGAAGAGATTTTCAGGTTCTCCAAATTTTTATTTGTCATGGAAATGTTTTGAAAGGTTTTGCCAGTATTAGTCGAGAAGTTGTATCTCCTTTGCACACAGCTATCCTTACCTTTTACTCATTACAAAAGCTTTGGAGACAGACTGCTATCAACCTCTAAAAGTCCATGAAGCTGCCATGTTTGCCACAGAGTTTTGTTGAGATCTGAACTTTGTACAGAAGATACATGGTTGAGGAAATCCCTCCATGCCTTATACCTTAGACTTGGCAGCATAGGAAACCTGAGCTAAGACAAATAGTTGAAGCATCGTGACTGTACTATTAGGGCAGAAATAATGAATACTTGGTTGTGTTGGGCAAGATGGACGATGCACATATACACAAACATCTTTTACATGATGAACTGGAATGCGGACAGAGGAAGCACAGAGAGCATAATTGTCCCTAAATTTTCTTGGAGACCTTAGCAAGACTCTTTACTGGTAGAGCTTACAATCAGGTATGCAACGATAAAATATAATTCCTTTTCTCCTACAACAGCCTTGTTTTTCTTGACTCTAGACGCCTCTTGATAATGACAAGAATTGTTTGCTAAAAAAAATAAATATGTGCTTCACTGACCTGTTCTTATGGAATATGTACTGCAAATCCAAAACAATTTATAATACGAGAGTCTTGTCCCTGCAAACATTTATTACTGTGGACATTGTTTACTTACTATCAGCATCAAGCACAGTGACTACTCTGTGAGTCAGTTTTGTGCTGACCACAGAACCATAAAAATAGACCTATTTAGTATTCGCAGATGGTAGCTTTAAAATAGACAGGATTTCAAATTGAGCTTAAAAAAAACCAAACCCAACTTAAAGCAGTAAGAATACTCATCTGCTTTTGTGTGTGTATGACATAGCAAAACATTACCTCTCCCTGAGTAAAGTACAGAACCAAAAAAGAGAAATATCTGTCCCAAATATGCAGCTTGTGAAGAAACACTGAATTTTGTTATTGTTATGAATTGTGACTACTTAACAATTTTCATACACATCTAGTAACATATGGTCTTATTTTTTCGAATATGAACATCTTTTTCTAAATCAGTTATTTAAATGCATTCTGTACAAGCTCAAAGCTCTCAGTTTAAAGAACTCAATGTTGGATGAATAATTTCAATTGTATTTTCCATGTCATTAATGGGAATAAAATGATCCTGAGGTAGCTTATTGCACTAACACTTTAATTTCCCATTATTCTAGAATAATCAAAAATGTTTCTAATCTGTCCACAGTAGCACCACCTCTTCGTGTGCTAACTTTTGCATACAGTTACAGACATATTGAAACATTTACAGCTTGACAGATCTTTTCTTGATCATGAATAAATAAAGGAGTGGCCCTTTCTTACACTTTCCCATTATTACAATGTTCAGTTTTCCCCCATTACTCCAGACTCTTCCTTAAAATTGCTTTGTGTATCATATCTAAAGCAGTCATTTGCACTGCTGTGGTTCCCAACCTTCATGATGTCTCAGTAAAAGAAGTTACAGA